GCCAAGGGTGGGGTTTGGCCCGCGAGGGGCGCCGGAGGTGGCCAGGCCCGCGAAATTCCTTCCATTTCCCCGCTGGCTTCGGGACCCAGTTCCAGGAGCTCAAGAGCCGGGCTGCCAGGAGGCCGTTCCCGAGGGCCGGGAATTGCCCGCAGGCCCGGAAGGGGTCTGAGGTGGGAAAAATCAGCCCAGAGAGGGTCTCACGGAGTTTGGAGCAGAGCTGGGGTGGGGACTCGAGTCTCCTCTGCCAGGACAACGTTTTTCTCTGCCTCTGAAGCCTCTCCCCTCCTAGAGACTTTGTACTTGCGGGAGCAGCCCCTCTGCTGGGAGTGTTGGGGGGGGGGCATTCCATGACTTCAACCATTTCCCTCTTCATGTGCCCATTTTTGATAGGTGCCCTGGTGGGCAGAGAAATGCTACTGTGGAGGTGTGCCCTGTTGAGAGTCAAGTGTGTGTTGATCTGGTTTAGGGGCTAGGATGATGGATGTTTTGGAGAAATGAAGGCTTGGCAGGGTAGGTAGATTCACATCAAAGGGTACCAATGGATTTGGGGACATATACAGTATCACCTGGACTGGGGCCAGAGGCATGGTCCCAGACATACTCCAAATGGCCATTTAGATTAGCAACGTGGATGAAGATTGGAAGGGAAAGCCCGCTGACATTTTTGTAGTGCCTTGGGACTGAGATGGATGACGAATGTGTATGGAAATTCTGAATGTGGCCTATAGGACAGAAACTCCAGTCGATCCTGACTCACAGTGACCCATAGGCAGAGTAGAACTGCTCCCTGTAGGGGTCCCGAGACTTCTCAGGAGCAGACAGCCTTCTCCTGCTCCTATGGGAGCAGCTGGTGGGTTTGAACCACTGACTCTGTAGTTAACAGCCCAGTGCTTAATTCATTGTGCCACCAGGGCTTCTAACAGGACAGGAGGATGGGGCCTATTGAATGTGACTGAGGCTAGGTGAGTTCAGAAAGTCAGCTCAGGAGTCCGGCTTGGTAGGAGACCTGGCTCAGCTGCCTTAAAGCCTAGGTCCCCGTTCTATTGGTGAGGGGGCTGTCACACTGCTCTCTGCAAACAGAAGCCTCTACCCTGTGCACAGATGGGAGTGGAGGGTGGGTGTTGGTGGTGATCCCGAGCTGCCTGGGTTCTAATTCAAGCTTTGCCAATTCCTTTTGTGTGTGATCTCAGCGAAGTTCTGTACCTCCTTGGTAAAATGTTCATAGCTCTTCCTTACATTGTGATGCAGAAACACGAAAGCACATGGGAAAGCAATGTTTGGAGCATACCTTTCAGCAACTCCTTGTGACGTATTATAGTTAACAATAGTACTAAGTCCGTGTCTGGGTGGGGGCGTTGGCCCGTGCAGAGGTTGTCCCCAGGTGGCCATAGCTGGTTGCATGGCAGCATTTAGAGAAAATACCTACATCCTTGGTGGGACGGAGGGGAACCAGGAGATTGTTGTTAGTTCACTATGAGTCGGAACTGACTGGATTACACCGAACTAGAGGAACACAGTGGGCAGGTGGTGGAGCTGGGGTCCAGGGCTGGAAGGCTTTTGGGTGTGACTCACCAGAGAAGATGCTCTGATCTGTCCCCGAATGGAAGAGGCAGCCTAGGGAGCTGTCCGCAAGGAGGCGTTTTAGCTCAGATACCCTCCCCCTTGTTCTTTCAGGCCGGTGGCTGGCCCCTCCCGGGACTCTCCTGTGCCCCGCATTCTTCTGTAATACTTAAGAAACTCCAGCTCACTACCACCCGAATGGATTCCAACTCAGAGGGTCCCAGTAGGACAGGGTAGAACTGCCTCTGTGGGTTTCTGAGACGGTTAACTCTTTACAGGAGCAGAAAAGCCCCATCTTTCTCCCACTGAGCCACTGCTGTTTCGATCTGCGGACCTTGTGGTTCAGATCCAGATGCACCCCCTCCTGGGCCACCAGGACTCCTCTCTGTGATGCTTACAGAGCGTTGTTTTAGAGAAGACCCCGCCTTGGTGGAGTCAGGCAGGATCCTCGCTTCTGGTCTCATTAGGGAGACAGGTGATTGACAAGTGAGCAGACACACAGTGGTCTGGAGGATAAACTAAAAATAGATGAGTGTGATGGGGTGGGGTGCTCTCTGAGGAAGTGAAATGGGAATGGAAACTTGATGGATGAGAGGGCGTGGGGCAGTGACAGTCCAGGCAGAGAGAACAGCAGGCCCTGAGGTGCAGGGGAGGAGAGGTGGGAGTGGGGAGGCGGGGGGGAGGCGGGGGTGCGGTAGCTGGGCCAGCCTGATCCCCCCCGTCCCCCGACCACTGTGGAGCCATGCTTTCTTCTCTGAGCCACCCCCAGCACAGTGCAGTTTGTAAATGACTTGACTTCAATCCAGGCTTGCTCATTCTTGGGGCCTAGTGTTGAGGGAGTTTTGGGTGCCAGGCTCTAGCTCTGGCCCTGGGATGCCTTGGGGAGGACTTGGGTTCTCTGTTTGGGCCTGACTGGTTCCAGAGGATGTTTGCCACCCCTACCCTGCTACCTTCCTCTTCAGTCTTGGGGAGGCCCCCCTCAGGCTTGGCTGTAGACTCCTATTGGGGTGTGGGAGACTGGCGGTGTTGTCCTGGAAGCAGGTCTGAAGCCATGGATCCAGAAGTGGCTTGGACTAGGTACTCGGTTCTAGGGTGACTATAAGTGTGTCCTCGGTTAATTTCTCCCCGGATCGCCATGTGAGAAGGGCAGTGATGAGGCAGTGGAGCCCTGGGTTCGATTCCCAGCCTATGCACCTCAAGTACCACTTGCCTGTCGGGGGTGGGAGTGCTATTACAGTGCCAATCGGGTGGGTGTCAGTAGAGCTTCCGGCTGGCTACATGTTGCAGAAAACGGGCCAGCGGTCCGGTCCCCTGATGGGGTCAGCACAAGTCAGGGGTCAACTTGATGGCCATCACCAGCCGTGTAAGTCAACACAGACATGGACCCAGCACTGCCCTAAGCTCTTTGGATATACTGACGCCTTTCACGCCCGATGACTGACCAGCCTGTGGTACTTGTTTTTGCAGCCGGGGCACTGGAGGAGCAGAGGTTATGTAGCTTGCCCAAAGGAGCCAGGCTTTGAACCCAGGCCGTCTGGGATCCAGCCTCTTTAAGCCCGCACACTTTGCTCTCAGGGATCCTTCCACATTTGGGGATTGTCCCCTCTGAGCTGCTGAATGAGGGGCCCTGTTGGTTCTGGCCAGAAGACTAACCCCGGCCCAGGCTGTGGGAATGGAACTAGAGCCCCTGAAAGAGAGAGGGGTGCTCTTATCTGTTCTCAAAAATGGCTCCACTCCTCAGCCTACAAGATGCCCTTTTGTCTGCGTCCAGGGCTGCGAGGCTGAGGGACTGTCCTGGCCATATCTCCCAGCCCCAAGAGCTACTTGTCCTGGGCAGGGGTCCCCAGCCTCATGATGTTCACCCAGGGAGGCCCTTGGGCTGCCTTGAAGCCTGTGTGGCCTGGATTCCACTCCCACCCCCACAGCGGCTGTGCACTCTGCCTGCATCTACCCTCCATTCACACCTTTTCTCCCTCCCAGCCCTCCACCATGGACCGAGGCCAGCCCCTGCCCCTCCCTGGTGACTGGCTCCCTGGGACAGGCCCAGAGCCTGCTGTCTGCCCTGGGGGTAAGTGCTCCTTTCTTGTCCTTTTGCCCCCAGGGGCCCCTGAGCAGGTTACCCATTCCCCCCACCCTACCCCCCCCACCCCGTGGGTATGGAACTGCCTGAGGCGGATGTGGTTTGGGGGTGGAGGGGAAGCCCTGCCGAGAGCGGACAAGGTACCACCTGCTTGGGAGATCAGATTTCTCCTGTGCTGAGGGTGCTGCGGGGGTGGCAGGGGGAAGCCCGGCTCAGCAGGAGAGCTCTGGGCCAGGTGACCTGGGTTGCTGGAGGGCGAGGGGGTGGTGAGAGCAGCCCTCCAGGGCAGCACATGCCTGCTTCCAGGAAGCCGATGGGGTAAGGTCAGGTAGGGGAGCTCTGGGCTGAGCAGGGAGGTTGGGGGCAGGCTTGGGTGGCAGCTGACTCCTTTCTAGGGTGTAGACATGGCCCCAGAGCTCATGAAGAGAAGGCAGACAACACACTGTAGTGACCACTGCCCCACCATGATCCGCGGAGTCTCCCTCCCGGGTCGCCACCATGGACAGAGGCCAGTCCCTACCTCTCTGTGGTGACCATCTGAAGCCAAAGGGGATGACTTGAGTTTATGCAAAAGCCTGTGGTCCACTCAGAACGGTGTGTAGACCACCCCAAAAGGGTGCTGGCTGCTCCCTCCATCATGGTGGGCTTGTAGGGCCCCGGAGTCCATGGGTCAAGGAGGCCGACCACTATGGATTAGGTGGTCTTTGCTGATCCTATGGGCTAGGGCAGGGACAGACCTTCCACTATGCTAACAGGCAAAAGCTTGACCTGTGGCCACCCAGCGCACCCCTCCCCTGGCCGATGAAACAGTGGAGTGACAGGGTAGAGATGCCTCAGAGGTCCACCTGTTCACCCACCCCACCTTATCCCCACCCAGCACATGCAGACTCCTGGAGCCCCGGACCAGCCCGAGTTTGGTCTGAGGGGACACCCCTTCCTTGTCCGAAGGCGAGAGGTGGTGAGCATGAGCAGCGTTTCTACCAGAATGTTCCTTGGTCTTGAGGGCTCTGAGAGCCTGGGTTGGGTTCACTGCAGCAGAGAGAGCCCTGGCCCCACCTGGAGTCCCCCCCACCCCCCTTTCCCTGAACAGCAGCATCATTAGGCAACTCCCCTCCTCCAGCCCTTGAGAGGTGCTCCGCTGACCCAGGGGCTGTCTCAGCTCCCCAGCAGCAGCCCCTGTAGGCTTGGTGCACTAGCTGCAACGCTGCAGAGCTGGAGCTGGGATGGGGAAGACTGGCGTCCAATGTGAGCCTGGTAGAGAGTTGGGAAGCGCTCATTTACTCCGGGGGCCAGGGTGCACCTGGTGTCCAGCTGACAAGCAGGCTCTGCCACCAACCTCTGGGCTGGGGGGTAGGGGGGGGGAATTACTGTAAATGGGAGAGGCAGGTGTCCCTGGTCAGCTGGAGATCTGGCTTGGGAAGCACGTGAGGGTGGAGGATGACATCACTGGGCTCGTGCCTCCCTTCCCCAGTCTGCACTCCGGTGCCAGCCTACGGCAGCCCTGGTGGGCAGGCGTCCTGGGGTTTACCCGTTGTCTGGGCGATTGCGGAGGTGGGGTGGAACTCCCATGCCACAGACACTGCCAAGGCCACCCTGAGGGGCTGCCAGACGGGCCACATGAGCGTTGGAGCTGGTCTTGTGACGTGGGCACCTGTCCGCTAGGCCCGGGCGTGGGCCCAGGGTCACGCTCACACCGGGGCTCCCGTCAGCTGACTATTTTGGGCCCTTGCTGACCTGGGCCAAAGTCGAGCCCCAGCCAAGAGGGCCCTGAGGCGGCTCCTCTCCCCAGAGACAGGCTCTGGTTTCTGCTATATAAACACAGGAGGACATGCTGGCTGGGTGTCCGCTCTGAGTCCTGAGCCTGCTTTGCTGGTGACAGGCCTCCACCGGGAGGACACGCAGACCAGGCAGTCACGTCTCTCTCCCCACAGGACTCCCTGAGGCTACCGGCAAGAGCCCGCACCCAGCCCAGGGACACTCCCTTTGGGTGCTTGTTCAGGATCTCTGGGAGTCAGAACAGACAGTGAGGTGGAAGCTGGTGAGTCTTGTGAATGGGGAAACTGAGGCATGGGAGCTGGGCGATGTGCATTGCCCTTGAAAGGAGGGGACGGGGTGGGGTGGGGGCAGGCAGTGCAGGTGTCAGGAATGAGAGTGAGTGAACTTGATGGCAGCTGGCAGCTGGAGCTGACTTGGAGCTGCGGCTAGGGGACACGGGGTGGGGGACATGAGCTGGATAGGTGATCCCATTCATATCCTTCTTCAGGGCTTCCCAGCAGGGCCCCCCACTCCTCATCTCCCAGTGACCTAGACCTCGGGAGTCCTGGGTCTGTTCAGGCAGGGGGACCACTCAGAAGTGAGTGTGCTGTCTGTCCACCAGGGTGCCACAGGATATCCATTCCTTAGCAGGTGGGGACTCGGGGGTTGAATGGGGTCTCCTACTCTTTGCTAAGACCTCAGCCCCTTCCCTGCTTGCCTCGCCTGGCTTCCCAGCTGCCTGAGAAGCAGGGCTGGAGCGAGGTCAGGCGGCTCTGCCAGCCAGCCAGCCACAAACACGCTACCCCTGGCCCAAGGCCAGGCCTCCGACCCAACACGGAACGTGTCTCGGCTCCTTACGTGGGAGGCTCCTGGACGCGCTTACTCCGTTCTCAAAAATAAATTTTCCTCCCTTTCTGAACGTGAGTCTCTAAACGAATCCAGAGCCTGAGACTAAAAATACCGTGACAATAGGGAAGTGCATCAGTCTTTCCGGCTGGCTGTTGTGCGTACTCCGAGGGGCGTTTATTTTGGAATTTGAAGTTTTGCCCAATGAAGAGGCTGGGTGGCCACCTTTGGTGGAGGCTGGGGAATTTGATGGGTGCTGGTGGTCGTCGGAGAGGTGCTGGGAGGCCCTCTGAGTAGGGAGGAGAGGCCAGGAGCTGAGGTGGCCCAGGGGGCACGCAGGGGGAGGCGAGGAGGATGCAGATACTGAGCTTTCCCAGGGAAGTCGGGCGCTGCTGGGCCTGCGCCCCAGCCTGGCTGGCTGGCTGGGCTGGCAGTTAGCTCATGTCTCTGGCTTGGGTGGGGGTGCTGGAGAGTAGCAGAGTCACTGCCTGAGGGTGGCCCCCGTGGTGGCCTGCAGTCCTTCCTTTACCCGTTTCTCTGGGGATTCATTGAGCACTTGCTGCATGCACTCTGGAATGTTTCTGGGGCTGGGTGGAGCTTCGTCTCGGGCAGAGGGCAGACTCCCATTTACTCTCCTCCAGCCCTGCAGGGAAGAAGGGAGATGTAGCGTAGGTTCTTGGGGGGGAAGGGTGCTGCCAGCTCCTCTCCCTCCCCTGCCCACTGCCAGCCCCAGGATCCTGCTGTTGGTCCCCCTGAGTCCAGGCCCCTGACAGCGCTCAGTTTCCCTCTGGAGCTTCTCCTTTGACTTGCTTTCCCACAGCTCCCGGACTTGGGATGTCTGCATAGGACATGTGACAGACCCGTCTCAGAGAGGTCCCAGGGACTGGCTTCAGGTCACACCCCAGGCCTCCGGGCTCCAGATGTCTCGACAACCTTTCCATCATTGACTCCTATAGGGTCGCTATGAGTCAGGATCAACTCGACGGCAGTGAGTTTGGTTCTGGTTTTGAGGGCTGGGGTCAGGATGGGGGTGGGAATAGTGGCTGGCCAGGTCATGCCTTTGGGGAGCCTTTTGGGGGCAGATAATGATATCTGCAATTATATGGCAGGGCTCGGACCAGCGCCAGGAGACAAGAGCCAGTGGCCTGAGCCTGACCAGCATCACCCCTGGTTCCCAGACTGGCCCTTGCCTGCTCCCCCAGGACAGTTGGCATTGCACCCTTGCCCATGCACCAGTCCCCCTGCCCACTGGCAGGAAGAGGAAGCGGCTATGTCAGGGCTGGCACTGGGCCCCAGGGCTGAGGAGGGGAAGCTCCCAGGGCCACTTCTCAGCAGGTAGAAGCAAGGCTCTCACCCAGTGCCCACCCTGTGGGAAGGGCGAGGCCTTGCTGAAAGTAGGGCAGGTTCCTGCCCTTGGCTTAGGGGCAGGCCCAGCTGAGCAAGGAGGGCGGGCAGCGTGGGAAAGGGGCTGTGGGGTTCCACTTCCTCCACCCCTGTGTACCCAACCTCATGCTACCCTGCTGGCTGGGGAGCATGCCAGCCCTGACCTGGGCTCCTTATTGATGCGGCCCCCATCCAAAATGAGGCAGACCGGGGCCTACTCCTCATGGAAGTTGAACTGCTTTTAGGAGTTGGGGCTCTAGTAAGGCCTTGGGTCCCAGAAAGTTTGACTAGGAGGGTCAAGGCCAGGGGTGTGGTTCACAAAAGGTGCAGTGTAGACGAGTGAGGACCCCTTTCGAATGTCAGGTGCTGCGGTTCCACCCGGCTGTCATCGTCCTGTACATGTCTGTCGAAGGAGCAGACACGGATATGAGAAGCAGCCCGTGACTCCAGGAACACACACTTGAGTCTGTACGCAGGGAATTCCCATGGCGCCTGCATCCATCTGAGTAGTGTCATCTCTCCCTTCGGGCGTGAATTTAAGAATTGTGGTGCAAATACATGCCACACACTGTGTGCCCATTTAACGATTCCAACAGGGACACTTCAGTGACGCCGGCCCATTCTTCACAGTCCACTCCTCCTCGCTCTCCTGGGCCAAATCATTCTGCCACTACTTTCCATAGAGGAGCTGTGGTGGTAGTGGTGCAGCACTTACGTGCTCACTGAAAGGCCAGGGGGTTTGGACCCACCAGACCTGGCTTTTCGGCTCCTGTGAAGATTTCAGCTGGAATAGAGCCAGCACACAGCTGTAGTGACATTTTTAAAGGACACTTTTGGGGGTGTCCTTTTGGGGGAGAGGGGCGAGTGTAATACAAGAAAGAGCACAAATCGTGGCTTAATAACCTCATAATATAACTGGATGACTTGCCCAGAGCGAACACAGCCAGGGACCAGCACGTAGATGAGGGAGTGGAAGCTGCCCGTCTCCCCAAGGGTCTCCTTCCAGGCCCTGCTGGTGCTGCCTGTGCGGTGTGTGTGCAGCAGGGACTATGGGGTCCGAGGCTGTCCCTTCTAGAGTTCAAGGTCAAGGGCAGCGGGCCCAGCACAAAACTGCAAGTTAGGGACCTGAGTGTGAATGCTGTGCCTGAGCCCCCATTTCCTCATTGATCAGACTCTGGAACCTGAAAAGGTTGGTTCATTGGAAGAAGGTTTGACACTTGGTTTGCCAAGGTCTGTCCCTCGCACTATGTCTCAGGCTAGGTTTTCTGCAGAACAAAACCAGCGACGCTTGTGTGTATCTTTGATCTTTCCATGAAGGAAACAGCAGACACAACTGGAGAAACAGGCAGGCTCCAAGTCCGTAGGTGAGATGTCAGGTTGGAGCCTTCTGATCGCAGAGTCTAATGAATACTGGGTAGGCGGGTCAGTAGGCAACATGGCAGGCTGCTGGCTCAAGTTTGAAGACCAGAAGGCAGAGGGCAAGCCAGATGCAGGGTTCATACTCAGCCAGAAGCAAGTAAGCTTTTCCACAGTGTCACTGTGGAAGCAGGCCACGCTCCCCGAGGAAACTTCCATTCATTTGTTTGGATCAGGGCTGTGATCTAAGGTAGGGTGTTACATCCCACCCTCATCATACAACTGATTGGCTGCTCATAGCAGATCCCATTATGGAAGTGATTCCATTGTGTCAAGTCACATGGTGGGGGACGACTAGGTCTTTATTACCGTCAAACCATGGAAAATACTAACCCGGTTGACACCAAACCTTAACTGTCACAGCATGTGTGAAGAAGTGAGCTAGCTTAGGAGGGTGGCATTTGAACTTTAATATTGAAAGATGAGCAGGACTATGTAGACCGGAAGAAGAAGAACGTGCCCGGTGGGTGAAATAGCTTGTGGAAAGGTGTAACTCAAAGTTCTTTTGTTGGGGTCGTAGGGAGTATGGGTGATGGGGGCATACAGGCCGACTGGGGCTATGATGAAGGGAACCAAGTATGTTGGATTTGCTGCCAGCATGACATCATCTCTCTCTGCCTTTCCTGTGTCATCATGACCCTGCCTTACCTTCTGGTCCTTGTTTGTAATTTTGGACATGTCTGCCTTCATTCCTGGTCCTCCCCCACCCCAGTGAGTGGTCCCTCTGACCTTGTCCCGGGAGGCTGCTGCACCAGGGGGGCTCATTGAGGGTTTCTGCCCAACCTGGGACCAGCTTGTACTCTGAGACTCCCAAAGCGTGTGTGCTCATGATGCCTTCCCCAGAATCTCTGCTGACTGGGTGGCCACCTCCCTCGGAGCCCGCAGGCCACCATCCCTGGAGAGCCTCTGGGTTGCAGAGCCTGGGTCCCCACGTCCCTTTCTTGCCTCTCTCCTGTGTTGGCTGAGGCAGTGAGTCGGATGAGAGATCAGCTGTGTTTCCACCAGGAGAAACTGCCTTTTGCGTCTTAGGTTGTGTTGACTTATTTTATGAGTATAGTTTATTTAGCACCCCAGCATGCTCTGAAGGCCTAGCCAAGGGGCAGCTGCAGTTGCCCCTGTGTCCCTCTCTGAAGGGGTGGGACTGCAGCAGTCCTATAGCAGTCTTACAGCCTGGGAAGGTGGGCTCTGGGCTGCAAGTGGATTGGGAGACTGGGACCTAGACCAGAGGCCTGGACAGCCCCTCAGCATTCTTGAGTTCCCCAATCAAAGGTGGTTGGGATGACAGGAGATTAGAAGAACTCAAAGCACTAAGGCCAGGTATGAGCAGCTGAGCCCTGACAAGTCAAGGCACAGATAAAAGCCCTGTGTGATTCACAAATCATTTTCACCCCTAAGGAAAAAAAAAAAAGCATTTTTTCCCCCCTAAGCAAAATGGTATGCAAAAGCCCAAAGGAAAACAGAACTTGGACTAGGCTGGGGTGGAGATCCTGGATTCGTTTTACTCCACACTGCCCTGAAGCTGTCACATGACACGGTGCCCGAGCAGAAATGGGGTGGAGAGCAGGGGGTGGGAGGGGACCCGTTCTCTCTGGAATGGATGAAGCCTGAGATATTTGCAGAGAACTCGGGTGGGTGGGCAGACATGTGGGAAATGGGTGACCAGAGGTGAGGGTGGAAGTGGGGAGCAGGAAGTGCCTGGAGGGCAGAGGGAAGTGTTACGGGGTCACCAGATGAAGTGAAAGTGAGGTGGGTGGGTGGGTGCAGCCTCTACTGATGTTGACTCACGGGTGACGCTGTTGGGTAAGTGGTGGACTGCTAATCACAAGATTGAAGGTTCAAAATCACCAGCTGCTCCTAGGAGAAAGATGAGGCTGTGTGCTGCCATACAGACAGACAGCCCCAGAACCCCAATGTCGACTCCACTAGAGAGCAGTGTGGCCTTTCCTGGGGGAGAGGATGGATGGGGGCCATAGTGGGGTGAGCAGCTCCCCCTTTTTCAACTTTTGCACTTCATCCTTGCTCTCAATTAGCTGGTCAGGGTGCCCTAGGCCTGTGGAGGGATAGGGTGCAGGAGTGAAGGCGGAGCCCAGGAAGGCTCCAGGAGGTTCTAGCCTGTTAAGTTCTGATGCCACCCACCCTGCCAGGCTCCTCTCTGCCCCACAGGCAGGTGCTATGGTCAGAACCGCCCCCTCCACAAGGGTGGGGGCGGGAGTTGAGGTGCTCTCTGACCTTTGGGGAGGAGGGCTGTCCTGGTAGGAGAGAGTACAAGATAACCCTAGGGGAGCTGGCAGTGGAGTGGGTGCCCCTGCTCTGCTGTGCGGCCCTTAGCAAGTACCCTATCTCTGAGCCAGTTTATTTCCAAAAAGGGGAACGGTTGGCATCCGTTTGAAAAGACTTCTCAGGCACCACCCGGCGTTCTAAAATCTGGTAATTTCCCAAGCCGGGTGCACCCAGAGCTGGGGAGAAGCCCTGTGAAGAACCCAGGTCCGGTGTGTGAAGCCTGCAGGTGTTGTTGGGGAAAGCACTTCACGGGCCCGGGAAGACCTTGTGTGGGCAATTTGGGGGAGAGAGTAAGCAGCACCCTAACTGTCATCTGAGCGGAGGTGACCTCTTGGCCTGACACCACATTGGGGAGCACCGGCCCCAAGCAGTGCAGAAGCTGCACCCTGGGCGGAGCTGGGGCGCAGGCTCACCAGGGTGCCCCTGGGTTCCCTGTCCCAGCTGATGCCTGCCCAGCGGCAGGAGAGGGCGAGACCCCAGGCCTCCGGAAAGAGCTCAGGAAGAGGCCAAGGCGGAGGCCAGCCCGAGAGACCGGGTGCGGCCGAGCCGCCCGGGAGCAGCCCGAGGGCGAGGAAATCCTCCCCCGGGGAAGCCCGGGGCCGCCGCTCTCCAGCGCCCTCTTCTTCGGCTCTCGCCTTCCCAGCCGGTTATTTCGGACCTGGAGGCTCCCCGACCCGGTTCTGAGTCCGGTGGTGGGGAGAGCCTGGCGGGGCGCGCAGCTGCTATTTTTAGCGGGCGCGAGGGCCCTATTTATAGATCAAACACTCCGCGCTTCCTGCGTCAATGGAACCCCGCGTGCGTCACGCGCGCAGACATTCCAGGCCCCCCTCTCGCCCCGCCCCCTCGGGCTCCCCGGCCCCGCGCCTCCCTCCCTCCGTCCGCCTCCCGCCGGAACCGCGCCGCCCCCCGCGCCCTTGTATGGAAAGCTCGCCGGGCTGCGTGCGTCAATGGCGCCCCCGCCCCCCCTGTGCGTCACGGAGCGCTTAAGAGGAGGGTCCTGCCTGGCCGGGGAGCCCCAGTAACGGAGGCTGTGAAACTTGGGGCAGTGTGCGGAGACTGCGGGAGCGCACGCGGGACCAGACTGCGACTCGGGGCGCTGGTGGCGGGCAAGGGGCACAGGAACCGTTCGGCCGGGTACGTGCCCCGCAGGGAGCGTGCATCTGCATGGGTCCCTGGGGTTTCGCTTTTAGGGGTGCTGGCCATGGGAGATGGAATGTACGCACGGGCAGAAAGGGAGTTGTAGGGTCCTCCGGCAGGAGGACGGGAGTTCAGTGCCCTCCGGGCTGGGGAGGCAGCGGTCGAAGCCAGGTGGGGACCCAGATTGGACGGGGCGCCGGAGGGGGGAGTGTCAGTGCACGGTGGAAGCCGCAGGGGTTGGAATTGGCGCCAACGTAGAGACTTGTCCAGCAAGCAGCTGGCTTGAATTCAAGTCCCAAGTCGACAAGGTGCTCAGGACTCGGGTGCTGATGAGGGTCTCCATAGCGTGTTGGGAAAGGCATCCGGAGCTGAACTTCAGCCCCGGTTTCCCAAAAGTCTTCGTTCCCCCAGCCTGGGAACGAAGCCCCGGTTTCCCAAAGGTCTTCGTTCCTCCAGCCCCCTCTCCCGTTTGCCCCTCTTAGTCGCTTAGTTTGCCTGGACCTGTCCAGGCAGTTTCTTTCTGTCTGAGCTGGGTTGGGCGACCAGTCGACCACCCAAGAGAATGGCTAATGCTGGTGGCCGAACTGTGAGGGGCGTTTGCCTTCTGTTGGAAGGAGTGAGTCTTCTTGGCAAGAGCAGGAGCAGGGTCCCTTTCTAGAAGCACGGGGAGTGGTGGTGTTTTATTAGCTGTGACTTGGATCGTGTGTGTGTGTGTGTGTGTGTGTGTGTGTGTGTGTGTGTGTGTGTGTGTGTGTGTGAAGATGTGGAAACCCTTGTCCTTGGGGACCCTGGAGGGAGTTGTGACTACAGGAGCCTGTGGGAGGGGGGGTGCTTCTGGGAGGATCTGAGTCCCCTATCACCTGGGCCCCCCTTACCCTGTAGTCTTTGTGGGATCTCACAGGTAGGGAGGGTGCAGTCTCAGGCTCGTTCAAGAGAACAGGTGAAAACCACACTGTTGCCAGGACCTGCCTGAAGCCGGATTCTCCCCACTCCTCCTTCAACTCCACCTCTTCCTCCTCTCTGGGGACTGCTCCTCCCACCCATTGGGTTTGGATATAGGTCCTGTGTTGTTAAGTACCTGCACAGCATGGAAGCTGGGGGTGGTGGGGGGGTGGGGGGGTGGCGGCGGGCATAGGTTGGTGGGGGCTGATCCGGATGTGGGACGTCCAAGTGGAGAAACAGGATTTGAATAAGGCTGGACCGCCCTGCTCTGCGTGGCTGCCGCTCTCCTCCCACCTCTAGCCCATCCCTGCCAGGCTGTCCTGGTGCTGGGAGACGTGGCTTCTCTTATCGGGAGCAGGTGCCCAGGACTGCATGCCGAGAATGGGTGCCTCCAGGCAAGTGGTGCCAGAGCTTTGAGGGCCTCTGTTGCCTGCGTTGGTGTGTGCCATGGGTGGAGCTGGCCCTACAGGGAGAAGGGCTAGGACCAGGGCTCTTGGCTGGGGGGTAGTGATTGACAGCCTTGGCCCCATTTGCTTACCCCCAGATTCCTGGTATTTGAGTTTCAGCTGGGATTCTTCCCCAGTAGACCCCCTCCTTGACTGATTAGGGTGGAGTTATGCAGACCCCAGGCAGGGACCAGGGAGGGAGGGTGGCCCTGTCCTGGAACTTCCTGCATGAATTTGACTAATCTCTGAATTTAAGATGTGTGTGTGTGTGTGTGTGTGTGTGTGTGTTGATTGACTTTTTCTGGCTTTTCATGGTGAGGTCCAGGGAGGGGCAGGCTCCTTCTGCTTCTGCATACCACCTTATGTCCTCTGCTGGACTTTTGAGTGCTCCCCCCTCCCCCCATGGCAAATGTGAGAACTAAATGCCTTGATATCTTTCCTAAGAGGCAAGAATTCAGAAGTAGGAGAGACCATTATTTCTGTTAACAAGGCACTCAGAAATTCAGATGTGTAATTATAAGGGGGAAATCTCCAGTAGGGGCTTCAAGAAGTTGGTGGGAAAATGGAATTAGTAGAGAATAGTTTTCTTTCTACGAACCTTTTCTGTATGAGTTTTTGGACGTGTATTTGTTGCAGTGGTGTGAGGTAGGAGTTCAGGTAGGAGAGAACTCAGAGCAGGCGTCTTATTTTACGTCTGAGTATTGCCTCCTACAAAATGAGCAGGGAGAGGTGCTCAAGGTATCGTGGAGAAATTCTTCTTAGGGACTGGTCATTCTCTGGAAGTCTGGGGCCTTGTTCTCTCTCCCTCCAGCATATGGCCTTTAAAGGTCTGAAGCCAGGGCCCCTGATCCCCGGGGGAGCAGGACTCCCTTTCTCTTGGCATCTGGGAGCATCCCAGGCAGTGCAGAGGGGGTGTCCAGCCCCAGATGGCAGGACTGGGGTGCATGTGGGAGCCCCAGCCCTTGCTCAGTCTGTAGGGTGGGGGCAGGCTCAAGGGCAGCTGCCTTGGTCCTTAGGCCGCTTTCTGGAGCCAGGTGGGGTCTGGACCTTCATTCCCAGCCCCTGTTGTCTCTCTCCAGGATGCCCTCCTTCCAGGCATGGAGTAGGGGGGCTGGGGTGCAGAAGGAGTTTTGCAGAAGAGAAGTCTGGGCTGAGTTGAGAATACTCCCAGGAAGTGAGCCCACCTGTTCCTGGGATTGGGCATCCTCCTGTGGGGGAGGGGCAGGGGGCTGGAAGAACACAGCTGCCCCCTGTTCCCTCAGAGAAACGCTGGCCAGATGCCTTCCAGGGTTCCCAGGCCAACTAGGGTGTGGCAGGCCTCCCGGCGGAGCCCACTTTGGCTGGGCCACTGCCCAGGGACTGTGTGGTGTGTAGGTTGAGAGGGTGCTCTAGCCAGGGGTCAGGCTCTTGGGTTCTGTGGTTGTTCACAGCCCTCGGGCCTCTGAGTCCTGCCTCTTGCCTGGGCTTCTTGCCACCTGGCTGCCCCTGGGGCCTAGCCTGTGCAGTGAGACTCGACTTGGGCGCTGACTCCTCCCCTCCCGTTGGGGCTCCTCTCCCTCTCCAGAGATGCCCTGCATCCAAGCCCAGTATGCCACTCCAGCGCCGAGCCCAGGAGCCCGTGACCACCTGGCAAGCGACCCCCTGACCCCTGAGCTCAGCAAGCCCACCATGGACCTGGCCAGCCCCGAGACGGCCCCTGCTGCCCCCACGGCCCTGCCCAGCTTCAGCACCTTCATGGACGGCTACACGGGGGAGTTTGACACGTTCCTCTACCAGCTGCCGGGCACCACCCAGCCGTGCTCCTCGGCCTCCTCCACGGCCTCCTCCACGTCCTCGTCCTCAGCCACCTCCCCTGCCTCTACTTCCTTCAAGTTCGAGGACTTCCAGGTGTATGGCTGCTACCCAGGCCCCCTGAGCGGCCCCCTGGACGAGACCCTGTCCTCCAGCGGCTCCGACTACTACGGCAGCCCCTGCTCCGTCCCCTCCCCGTCCACGCCCAGCTTCCAGCCGCCCCAGCTCTCTCCCTGGGAGGGCTCTTTTGGCCATTTCTCACCCAGCCAGACTTACGAAGGCCTGCGGGCGTGGACTGAGCAGCTGCCCAAGGCCTCGGGGCCCCCCCAGCCCCCAGCCTTCTTCTCCTTCAGCTCCCCGACTGGCCCCAGCCACAGCCTCCCCCAAAGCCCCCTGAAGCTCTACCCCTCCCAGGCCGCTCACCAGCTGGGGGAGGGGGAGAGCTACGCCATGCCGACCACCTTCCCAGGCCTGGGGCCTACCTCTCCACACCTGGACAGCTCGGGGATGCTGGACGCGCCCTTGGCCTCAGCCAAGGCCCTCGGTGGGGCTCCCGGGGCAGGCGAGGGCCGCTGCGCCGTGTGCGGGGACAACGCTTCGTGCCAGCATTACGGCGTGCGCACCTGCGAGGGGTGCAAGGGCTTCTTCAAGGTGAGGCCCTGGGCCCGCAGGGGCTTCGTGGAGGAAGTGGGGACAGCCAGGTCCCTTCCCTGGTCGGGTTTCCTCCCCTGCAGCAAAGGGGCGAGCCTGCCTGGGCTCCCCCAGAGGCAGGGGCCTCGGGGCCAGTAAGAAGGGGCCACGGGCTGAGGGGCAACAGAAGGGGAGGGTCTGGGGGTCAGCCTTTGGCTTGGCTCGGCCCGCCCTCTCCCCTTCAAGGTCCCAGGAAGGGGGGCCCCCACACCCTCTTGTCCCTGGCAGGAGATGAAAGGAGCTGGGAGAAGGCTGGGGGTGGCCTCGGGAACAAGCTGTGTATTTGTCCCAGCGCTGGGTGCCCACTTAGCTTCCCGCCCCCACCCCAGCCGCTCCCGCCCCGCTGTGTCTGCCCCTGGAAAGGGGCAGGCGGGCAGGAGCACGGTGAAATGGACAGGTGTCAGGGCTGCTGGGGAGTCCCCGCCTGGCCCTCACCTTCTGCCCTGGGGCAGAACGCTCCTCCAGGGCCCCCTAGACTTGCCTCTTCCTCCCCACCCCACAACCCCTGTCTCTCCCTCCCCTGCCACCCAAATGTTAGAAAAATAGCTGTGAACAGAGAACGCTTTTGTCTGCATCGGCAGCAGGATCTGGACAGTGCCCTCCCCTGGAAGGTCCCCCCTCCCACCCCACTTTCTGACAGCCTGTTCCGTGTCACCCCCCCCCCCTCCAGCGCACAGTGCAGAAAAACGCCAAGTACATTTGCCTCGCCAACAAGGACTGCCCTGTGGACAAGAGGAGGCGGAACCGCTGCCAGTTCTGCCGATTCCAGAAGTGCCTGGCTGTGGGCATGGTGAAGGAAGGTGGGTGGCTGCGGATGGGCCAGGGGGCAGACCCGGCTCAGTGGGCGGGGCGGGGCCAGTCCCCTATGTACACCTGCCCTGCTGGGTCTGAGCATGGCCTGGCTTGGGAGGAGTGGGGAAGGAGGCCCTGGTGGGGACCCCTGGGGCTCGGGCTCCCCATGTCCCGGCATCTGTGCTCTCAGCTTTGGCCGAGGGGTCATGAGGTGGTGTCCCCCTGTCCTCACTGTGGCCTGTTTGTCTGCAGTTGTCCGGACAGACAGTCTGAAGGGCCGGCGGGGTCGGCTCCCTTCAAAACCCAAGCAGACCCCTGATGCCTCCCCCGCCACCCTCCTCACCTCGCTGGTCCGGGCACACCTGGACTCGGGGCCCAGCACGACCAAACTGGACTACTCCAAGGTGAGGCCCCCGCCCCTCTGGGAGGGCACACTCAGTGCGTGGGGGTAGGGGGGCGTCACTCCACACACTGAAATGAACAGAAGCCCCCTTTGGGTTGACCAGATGGGCAACTCAACATCTCGGGGCCACTTAGGCAAACAACGGCTGCCCTGGGGCCGTGTATGAGAAGTGGCAAACAGGAGCAAGAGCCCAGTTTCAGTTGTAGCCTCTCCCCCTCTCCCCAAGATGGCCGGCCCAGGGGGGCCGGTGCGGGGCCTTTGAGGGTGCTGACCGTACTGGGTACCCTCCTAGTTCCAGGAGCTGATGCTGCCCCGTTTTGGGAAGGAGGATGCCGGGGATGTGCAGCAGTTCTACGACCTGCTCTCGGGGTCCCTGGAGGTTATCCGCACGTGGGCTGAGAAGATCCCCGGCTTTGCTGAGCTGGCCCCCTGCGACCAGGACTTGCTGCTGGAGTCGGCCTTTCTGGAGCTCTTCATCCTCCGCCTGGCCTACCGGTAGGCCTCTCCCCGGCGCCTTGGCCAGATCCCCCAATGCTGCCCGCCCTGGGGCTGCCCTGACTGCCTGTGTTCACCCCCACCCCCAGGTCCAAGCCGGGCGAGGGGAAGCTGGTCTTCTGCTCGGGCCTGGTGCTGCATCGGCTGCAGTGCACCCGAGGTTTCGGCGAGTGGATCGACAGCATCCTGGCCTTCTCTCGGTCCCTGCACAGCCTGGTCGTGGACGTCCCCGCCTTCGCCTGCCTGTCTGCTCTCGTCCTCATCACCGGTGAGGGGACAGCACCAGGCAGGCCTGGGGCTTGAGGAGGGGCCTGGTGGAGGAGCTGTTTAGTCCTCTGCAGGGTGGTGGTCGGGGAGGGGAGAGGGCCCAAGTGGGCTGGCATCTAGCACTTGCTAAGCTCCTGCTCCTGCTCAGACCTGTGGGACAGGCAAGAACCTGAGAGGGGCAGACACTTGCTCAGAGCAGTACAGCTGAAGGTGGTAGAGCGGGGGCAGGCTTAATTTTACCTGATGCCAAAGCCCAATCAAGCCTGTGAATTAACCCCCGCTCAGAGCTACCCAAGACCCTGCTGCAGTCTACGGTGGTGCTGTTAGTGCACTGGGCTGCAACCTGAAAGGTCAGCAGTTCAAGTCCCTCCGGAGAAGACTGCGGCACAGTTTACTCAGACATGTGCGTGGTGGTGGTCACCGATGTGTCTGTTTTAGAAATGTTCGCTGGGGTGTAACCCACACACAGAAAGATAAGGGAGGTAGGGATGACCACTAGGCACCCATCAGAGGTCTTCTGGCTTCTTCCCCTGCCCCGGGAGCTGCTGTGCTGACTCTTAACTGCCCGGATTAGCCTTGCCTGCCCCTGTACTTTACGTAATTGCTGTTGTCCACGTATGCATGAACCCTCATGTCCAAAGAGGGTGGCTTCTTGGGGGGCGGGGCAGGCGCAAGGGATACCTGCTCAATTTTCATTTTCAAAGGCTCCAGAGCCCACCACCACCTTCCCCCCCTTGTTGACGTTCAGTGGAACCCTAACAGGTCGTCACACTGGTTTGGCCCACTCTGGCTGAAGAGGGCCTGGGCTGCTGGGCCCTCGGACTCGCTGCCTCTGGGGGTATCTCAGACCCACGGCTGCCACCCTCCAGGGCTTCTCAGGCAGTCAGTAGCGTAGCCAGAAAGCCAGGGTGCCTCTTCTCTCTTTCTTTATGACCTTGATAAGTCCTGTCACCCCTCCCGGCCTGTTTCCCCCTTGCCTAGAAGGACATTGAAGGGGAAACTTCCCTCCTAGGCTCCCGATGGGGTCTCCACATGAGCCGGTGTGCATGCGAGCTTTTGCAGGGTGCCGGGGAACCAACGGGAGAGACCGGGGTTGGGGTTTCTAGGTGTTGGGGCGTCTGGCTCTGGGATGGGCGGCTAAGTCTCACCCTTGTCTGCAGACCGGCACGGGCTACAGGAGCCTCGGCGGGTGGAGGAGCTGCAGAACCGCATTGCCAGCTGCCTGAAGGAGCACGTCTCGTCGGTGGCGGGCGAGCCCCAGCCGGCCAGCTGCCTGTCCCGCCTGCTGGGCAAGCTGCCCGAGCTGCGGACCCTGTGCACCCAGGGCCTGCAGCGCATCTTCTACCTCAAGCTGGAGGACCTGGTGCCCCCTCCACCCATTGTCGACAAGATCTTCATGGACACGCTGCCCTTCTGACCCCAGCCCGGGAACATGCGTGCACACGCGTGTGTGCCTGCACACTGCCCCACACGTGCCTTTAGCCCACGGCCCACAGACCCCAGAACAGAGCACCCCTCCTAGCACCCCACCGGGTGTGAGCCCAAGGCCCAATGGCCTCCTTGTTGACTCTAAGAAGCCACCAGGAAGCTCGAGCCCTGGGGGATGGGGGGGATTCGTTCGTGGGGGGGACCCCCACTATTGTCTTATGCCCAGCCCACCCCTGGCCTTTATGTTTTTGTAAGATAAACTGTTTTTAACACATACTGCCATGCTGTAAATAAGCCGAACGCTGTTGTAAATACAGGAAGGAAGGGGTTAAGGTGGGAGTTGGGGTTGGGAAGAATGGATGGGGCTCCCCGCCAGCCTCCTCCCCCATGTACATAAACTGTCACCCTAGGAGGAAGACAGATGACAGAGTCTGACATTTATATTTGTGTATTTTCCTGGATTTATAGTATGTGACTTTTCTGATTAATATATTTAATATATTGAATAAAAAATAGACATGTAGCCAAAACTGGGGGTTCTGTCTATCTCTGACGCCTTGTTCTCTGACCCTAATACACACAGCGAACTGAAAAATACTGCCACCCTTCAAGTCCATGCTGATCCACAGTTTCCGAGGCTTTGTGACTCCTTAGGGAAGCTGAGAGTCTCATCTTTCTCCCGAGGAGTGGCTGGTGGGTCCCTGACAGCACCCCTTTCCTTTGACCCCCTACATACCCATACTTGCATACTCGCAGAGACGGTGGCTCTGGCTAACCCTGGGGTAGTTACTAACTTGGTTCAACAGGTCTTGGTTTGCAAAAACCAGTCACCAATTATCATCCAGCTGGTTCCGACTCGGGCACCCTGACCGAGCAGAATGGTGCTTCAGCAAGTGTTTAGTGGCGACGTTTTCCAGCCAATCACCAGACCTTCCCGGCAGGCTGGGTTAGCAGCCAGGCAAGTTAGCTACTGACAACACCCAGGGTAAAAGGGTCACGGGACCATTTGCTTCATGGGTGCTCATGTCCAGCACGCAGAATGGTTTCCAACAATAAACATCCAGACAGGAGGTGGGCTGAGCGAGGCCTTCCGTCATCCGGCCACGGGCTCGTCTCAGCAGCCCTTAACAGGGGCTAGCGCTTTCCTGTGATGGACCTGTAATCTCCACATCTGTAAAATGGGAAACAGGTAGACCCCACCTCCCAGAGGGACGGGGAGAGAGAGGTACTTGAACACAGCTGGGTATAAGTAAGTCAAGGTAGCAGAAGCAGTTACAGGGATTTTGGTGGTGCCGTGGGTTACGCCCTGGGCTGCGAGGGGAGTGGTTGGCGGTTCTCAAACAGTTATAGCGCTCGAGAAAGACGAGGCTGGCTGCTTCTGGAAAGATGGACGTGAGCCTATTTTTTATTTTTACTTTTTAATCAATTTATTGGGGCTCATACAATTCATCACAATACATAGATCAATTGTGTAGAGCACATCTATATATTTGTTGCCCTCATCATTCCCAAAATTCGCTTGCCTCTTGGGTTCCTGGAATCCGCTCATTTTCCTTTTTTTATTCCCCCTCCCCTCCCCTTCCTCCTCCCCTTTCCCCCATGCACCCTTGATAATTTATAAGTTATTATTGTATCCTATATTACACTGTCCGGCGTCTCCCCTCACCCACCCCGCTGCTGCCCGTCCCCCAGGGAGGAGGCCATACGTGGCTCCCTGTGATCCATTCCCCCTTGCTACCTCCCCCTTCCCTCCTGGTATCGCCACTGTCACCCCTGGTCCTGAGAGGTTCTTCTGTCCTAGATTCCCTGCGTTTCCAATTCCCATCTGTACCGCTGTGCATCATCTGGTCTAACCAGGTCTGCAAGGCAAAATGGGGTCCTGGTAGTTGGGGGGAGGACATGAGCTTTTAAGGAGCCATTCCACGCTATCCCAGAGGGTTCCTTGAGTTGGAATGGATTCCACGGTGGTGGGAGCTGGGGTGGCGGGTGGGTTGTTAGTATAGGGTGTTTTCCCATTGCCAACATCCCTTCTTCACAGCACGAGGACCCAAGTTGCTGGTAGCGCTTGCCTTCATGGTAAGATGATTCTGAGATCCCTACCTGTGCCAGGTGCCCCCCACCCCCTATGGGGTCTCCAATGCCCAAGGTTACCGGGTGCTTGAAATGGAGCGTTCTTGGCTCCCTCCCCAGACACTCAGATTTGGCACAGCGTGGAGCTCAGCTCGAGAATCTGCTTGTGCTAGTATACTAGCACAAGCGGTGCTCTGGGGCCACCCTTCTGAGGGACATGAACCTACATCCCCCTCAACCCGAGGCTCGTGCAGGACTTGGGCCCCTTTACCACACTCGGGCTCGTCCTAGCTCATTTGCTTTTTTGGGACCTGGCAGGAGCCCGGAATACAGTGCGCCCCATGCCTCTCGCCCCTGGGAATAGGTGGGGGTGGGGGTGGAGGGCAGCCCCTGCTAATGGGAGTTGGGTGAACTAGTTCTCTGCTCAGGAACAGGAGAAAGGTAGGGGCCCCCTGCACTCTTTCCCATTGGCAGGTTCCACAGCAATCCCTGTTTGGGAGTAATGCCCCGCTAGGAGCAGAGCTTCCTGGGAAAGGCTCCACCCACGATGATGAGAAACGTTTGCTTAGTGCTTACAATGTACCAGGAGGCACTGCTGCAAGTACTCGCTGCTTATAAACACTCCGATTGTGGATGGACACTGAGGCACAGAGAGAGGCTAAGAGGCTTGTCCCATACTCCACAGCCACCAAGTTCTTGCTCTTAACCCCCTACTGTGTGGCCTGCCTATGACGTGGGACAACCAAATCTTCCTCGTAGATCGTAGCAAAGGCTAGAAATCATATGTAGGAAGGACTTTGCCTGTTACTCCCATCGAGTTGATGCTGACTCACAATGACCCTATAGGACAAGAGAGAGCTGCACCTGGGAGTCTCTGAGCCTGGCACTCTGCGGAAATAGAAAGCCCTGTTTTTCTTCCGCAGAACGGCTGTTGGTGTTGAACTTCTGACCTTGTGGTTAGGAGCCCAACTCATATTCACCAGGGCTCACAGTAGCCTGGCCCGCAGTAGAAGGGGCTATGTGGTTGCTATGACCATCGCTAGGTCTCGGAGCGGCATAGGGCTTGCGCTCAGTGACGGCCCCTGGGTAACCCAGGTGGTTTGTACTTGGCTGCCCATCGGCAGCCTAGAGGCTCAAACCCATCCAGGGGTGTCATGGGAGAAAAAGGTCTGTCGATTTTGTTCCATAAGGATTGCAGCCAAGGAAGCGCTGTAGCTCAGTTCTGCTCTCCCATACCTGCGCCTGCCAAGAGTGGGGATTGACTGGAGGATGAAGGGCCTGTTTTGGGTTTGTTATCTTTACAAGGGGAAGACTTCATCCCAAAGACAGGAAATGACTTGCCCAAGGTCACCTGGTGGCTCAGCGGCTGACCTGGGTGTATTGGGGGCTCACTTCATAGCTAGGTCTCCTTGGCTCCTGGGGACACTGGCAATTGGGGTATAGAGGTGGGAGGGCTGATTCTCCACCCCACCCCCCCACTCCCTCCCCTCTCCCCTAGCCCCACCCTGCCCCACCCAGCCGCACCCAAGGACTGGAGCCTGGAGGCAGGCTCTTTCTTTCTACCCAGCAACTGGAAGGACTGGCCTCCAAGCCTTGCTTGGGCTGGGCGGGCGAACAAGGGGGCATTGAGCTCGGTGGGGCCTCACAATGGCCGCTCTGTCCCGCTGGCCGGGGGCTGGGCCCGTTTCCGACAGGGACAATAGTCAAAGGGCAGTGACGCCGGCAGGGCCTGGAATCCCGGGCGGGATTTTCCAAGTCCTCAAAGCCTGCTGTTTGTCTTCATGGAGAGACCCAGGAAGCCTGCCTCCCTGTCTCCCCCCACCCCACCCACGCTGGGCTCTGTGCCCAGAGGCTCTGACCCTCTCCTCAGCTCCGAAGGGCCACTGTGGCTGGGGAGGGGTGGCTATGGGTCTGAGCGCTCAGTCTTAGGGGGTGGTACCCCCCACCCCCCAGCTTGCTTCGGGTAACCTGGGGGTTGAGTGGGATGTCCCACAGCTGGGCTCTAGGCTTTGGTGATGGAGGGAGGTGGTGAGGGCCAGGCTTGGGGGAGCCGTGGGGTGTTTGAGGGTCACGGGCAGCCATGCTGGACTCAGTGTATGGTGCCACTTGGTTCGTTCTGAGCAGCCAGTGTGCTCACCATGTGGGGGCCATGCCCGGGGAAGGGGGGTGGGAGGCAGCACAGGAAAGACGAACAGAGCCCGGTCGGAGGTAAAGGCAGCGTGTGATCGCTGGTTAGGCAGCAGGCTGGCAGGCGTGAGGCGCTGTGCGGGGCCTGAATGAGGTGTGCCCTTGGCTACCCGAACAAAGCCCTGGGTTTGCATTGGGAAGTGGGAAGAGCCCAGAGCTGCTGTTTCTCCCGAGAGGATGAGGCTAAAGGGTGAGCTCACTGTCAACCAGCGTCCAGCCTTGTCTGGCCCATGCCACGGAGCCCCACAGCCTCAGCCAGTAGCCGCTCTGCTCCCCAGGCAGCCTGAACCCAGCACCCCCCAGGGGGCAGCCCTTTCTACCCCAAGCCTCACCTTCCCTGCTGCAGTTCACGTCCTTCCTTGGTGCTCAGCTGGGGCTGTGGGTGAAGCCCCAGCTAGCTGGCTGGCGAAGGGGACCTGGAATCCCCAGCTCCCCACAGTGAGGACAGGAGGGAGTTTGTGCAACACTGGGACAACTCTCCTGCAACCCCATATTCCCTTCCCCACACACGCCAGACAGGTTCTGAGGGCAGAGGCACGTGCCAGGGTCCTTGGCTGCCCACAGGGGCCTGGGGACCTCCGGCCTCCTGCCCCTATCATCTGCTCTGGCTGCCTCTTACTGCCTGCTGGGCCCTGATCCTGCCAGCCTTGGCTCGGGGGCCACTAGAGGTCTCTTCAAGGTCTGACCCAGTCGCGCTGGCACCGTTTAGCCCCAACCCAGAGTCATAAATCAGCCCCGGCATGGCCCTGGGGGCTGGGGGTGGCAGCTGGGCTGGGGAAGGGTGTGCGGGGGATGGGGGTGGTGTGGGACTTGTCCTGGTACATGCTGCGTTAGCAGGAAGCAGTGCCCAGCGACAGACAGCTAGTTTGCTGCCCTTTTCACCCAGGGGTATCGGAGGGAAGGGCGTTCTCTGTCCTCCAGGGAGCTCAGGCTTGAAGGTGGCCAAGCTGGGAACAGAGGCCCCATCCCAGGGTCCCGGATAACTGGGACATTATCATCAGGCTGCAGAGATGCCCCCACCTGACAAGAAAACCAGGGACAGAAAAACACCCCTAGTCCCCAGGGGTACTCACAGAGCCTCCCCTACCTCACTCACTGCCAATCAAGGCGATGCCAACTGGCGGCATAGCTAGCAGCCCTGACGGACAGAGTAGAAGTGCCCCTGTGGGCATCCAAGACTAAATCTTTGTGGGAGCAGACAGCCGCCTTTCTCTCTCAGAGGGCTTGACTAGGGGTGGCGGAGCAGCCCTTCTGGGCCAGCCACAACATGTTTTCCACAGGGACAGACGCACAGAAATAAAGCCTTCCTCTCCCCACTGCCCACCCCATTTCCAACCTGTCGGTGAGAAAGAGAGAGAGAGAGAGAGAGAGAGAGAGAGACTTAAGAGACCAACACACACACTCCTTCCTCATCACAGAAGGGCAGGCCGCCGCAGAGGCGGACAGACAGCAGACATGCGCCCTGGGCCCCCGTCCAGGTCTGGAGCCTGCCTGCAGACCAGGCTGGGAGGCGCCCCTTTCTCACGCCCTTTGCTGCTCTCCCCGCCCAGTCATTTCCTCCGTGGCCAGGAGGGTTCTGAAAGGGATAGCCCAACAGGGTGGGGGTGTGGGGACTGCAGGAGCCCCTGCCCAGCATCCCAGGGGGCAGGTGTCTGAGGGGACAGCTGGAGCCCCTTGCCCCTTCAACTGGGGGCTGGGGCTGGAGGGTCAGTCAGCAGGGTACTCACTGCCCAGCCAAGCTGACCACCGTCAGGCGCTTCTGGCTTGACGTCAGTCCCGTTCATTGTTGTTGCTGGGCTTTGACTCATTCCCTGTGACGTCACCGGGGTCAGCTCTGGAGCGGTAAGGGGGCAGCCTGCCTGCTAGCTTTAGGGCGCAGCTCTCTTCTGGGCACACACCAGGACGAGGTGGAGCCATCTGGGGCCATGCGCATTATGCAAAGTCAGCTGTCTCCTCCCAAGGTCTTGGGTTGTCTTTCAAGGTCCCTCCGTTGGCTTTTGCTGCAAGGTGCAGCTCAGGGGGCTGCAGTTGGTTCGGGGGACAGTTGGCTCTCTCTGGTCGTGCCCTTCCTTGCCTCTGAACCCTCAGTTTCTAGCCTCAATCCCTGGTCTAGCATGTTTCTTTCCACTTCTTCAGGAAACCTCCCCAGGATAATTCCCAGGAGCTCCACTCCTTCCTGGAATTGCCAGCCCCCCTTCCCTGCCCTTTTGCTCAGGTTGCTGGCCAGTGTTTCTGCCGCTGCTCCAGTTCCTTTCTGGTCTCCCGCCACCTCCTAACTTGCTGAGGGCAGGCTGAGAGTCCTTTTCACTTCCAATATGTCCACTCTCTATTCCAGGCGGCTGCTATCTTTCTGAACCGACAGCAGCAGCCTCCATCGCGGTCCCTCTGGTTCCCGAGAAGCCCGCTGCATTGGTCTCTCGTGCCATTTGGGTATTTCGAGATCCGACACGGGCCCGGACACTTGCATATATGTGGCGTGAATGAATGAACGATCATCAGGATAGGAGCAGAGGACGGGAAAGTTCACCACACACAACTCCCATATTTAGCTACGACCCTTTCTGACAGCCCTCCCCCCTCCGTAAGACCCCACTGGCACCCAGAGTCGGAGGTACAGTGAGGCGAGAGGGCCCTGAAAGGCATGGGGTGGCAGGGGTTGGTTCACATCTGGGCCAGATGTAGGAGAGGTGAGAGGGCTCCCCTTTACCCACCGGCAGGCAGGCGAGGCTCCCCGGAAAGAGGAAGTTTTGGAGCAGGGAGGAGAGTAGGGTAAGAAAACGAGAGGCATGCAGGGAAACCATGACCTGTTTCTGAGCCTCAGTTTCGTGATCTTTAAATGGAAGAGAAGAGAGCACCCCCATGTCAGGCAGGGTTCTCTACAGAAATGAAAGCAGGACACTCATGATTTTACAGATAGATGAAGATAGGTTTATACAGCGAGAAGGAATGTAACAGCCAATTAGCCCAGACAGCAGACAGAGGGTTCAGTTCAACTCACTTCCCTGGAACAGTTAGTATCCTGGAAGTCCTTCAACTCGCGTGGGCTGCCGGGTCCAAAGTCAAGGAGGCAGACAGCAGAGTCCTCCCTGGGGCAAGGCAAGCAGAGTCTGCCCACAGGCAGCAAGCAGCAGGGCGGGTCAGCAACAGTCAGAAGCTCGGGAGCTTAGCGAAGCAGGCCCAGACGGGATATCGAATGCAAGCAATGCAGGGCATCGCTCAAGCAATGCACACACCAGCAGTGTGGTGACGCAGGTCTTGAAGGAACCTCAAGCTCTAGTGACACGATCCACAGGTTGGCCTGGCCCACAGGTAATGTAGCTCACAGGTTGAGGCAGAGAGCCAGCTAAAGCCGCAGCACACTCCAGCACACTCCGATCACCAGAGAGCGAGAGAGGGGGGCGGGTCTCGCAGAGCCATTTATCTCTTTGCCCTCCAATCAAACTGCAACCTGATTAATCCCACATGTTCCTATTGGCCAGGTTGGCACAATAAATCTACCTATCATACCCCTGTGATGGGAAGTTGGAGAAATCCACACAATAGGACAGGTGAAGTGCTAGCATGGTGCCATCAAGTGTGGTGGTTGGGAGAAGTGATGATGATGGTGATGATGATGATGCAGGGGAGTGGTGTGGAAGGGCCTTGGGAAGGAGGTTGTCCAGGGGGTAGAGTACTCAAGTTACCCCCTCATTCACTGGCGGTGTCTGGGGTGTAAGCTCTGGTCCCCTCCACCCCAGGGATGGTCCTAATCTTCCTGGATTTCCTTCTCTCCCCACCTCACAGATTTATTTCCTCTTGATAGACCTCCTGGGTCAGTCCAGGCTCCAGATGGAGTTGTTGGTAGGTAGAGCTGGCAGCTTTCTCCCTCCTGCCTCCAGCCCTCCCTGAGACAGCAACAGGGCTACATGAGGGCAGACTGGTGGAGAGGCGAAGGTGAGAGGGGCAGGTGTGGGGAGAAGGCAGACAGAGGAGAGGGGTTAAGAAAGGCTGCAGGAGAAATTTTCTGGTTTGGAAATCCTAAGGAGAAGCTCTACTCTGCCCTATAGGGCCCTGCAAATTGGAATCAACTCGATAGCAGAAGGTTTGGGTGGATAGTGGCTGTGTGAGTCCGGGTAGACTAGAGAAACAAATTCATAGACACTCATGTGTATAAGAAAGAGGCTTATAAAAAAAAAGAAAAGAAAGAGGTTTAAATACAAGGGCAATTGAGTATTGAGAAAACATCCCAGCCCAGCCCAGATCAAGGCCATAAGTAGGATATTAACCCATATGTCCGATACCAATCTATAAAGTCCTCTGCAGACTCACGAAACACAGGCAATGATGGCGAATGCAGGAAGATCACAGGTCAGTGGGTGCAAAGTCTTGTGGATCCAGTGGTGGTAGAAGCAACTCAGCGCTGGCAGGGATTTCCACCTGCTTCTCCAGCCCAGGGCACTAGCAGGGCACTAGTGTAGCTCCATGTGTCTTCTCAGCTGGAATATCTCCCAAGGAGTCTGCCTCTGTCCCTCCTCCAGTGAGCTATTTATCTCCTCATCGCCTCCAAATGAGGTCATCAAATTGGGACCTGATTGATTGCCTAAACTTCACCCCTTCACTCTTAAGCCTCTCTCAAATTGACAACAGATTATGTAAGCACCACAGTGGTAAAGAGCCCAAAGTTCGAGTCCCAGGCTCTGCCATTTATGGAGTGACTTTGGGCTAGTTACTAACATCTTCCAGAGAAAATGTCTTCATCTGCTTCATAAGACTGATTGATAGAACATTCGAATCAATTAATATATGTAAAGCATTAAAAAATTTTATCAATTATTTTTACAGGAGAGAGCGTGTGTTAGGAGACAAAGAACTGAATCCTGCAGTAAACATTTTAGGAAAGCGTCCCGTGTCAGGAGCAAGAGACTGCTTACTCCCAGGAAGACTTGGGGTCACTAAAAGGCAGGTTGGATTTGATAGCAGTGGGTTTTGGGGTGAGTGCCTGTTGTAGGTGGGGAACATGCTGGAGTCTGAGAGCAATAACAGAGCTCTGGTTGCCCTGCTGGGCTGTCTGGTAATAGGTTGGACTGCTACCACAAGGTGAGTGGTTCAAGCCCACTCACTGGCTGCTCCTCAGGAGAAAGATGAGGCTCTCAGCCCCTGTACATATTTACAGACTCATCAACCCTAGGGATTGGCTAGTTCTGTTCCACCCAATAGGGTCGCCATGAGTGGGAATGAACGCAATGGTAATGCGTTTGACCAACTCTGGGTTTACCATGTACGTGGAGAGCCGAATGCACTCCCAAGGAGTTACATCATACGGAAAACCACTCACATTCATGCACCAGTTTCCAGTGTCCAAAGGGTTTCCATAAGTTATCTCTGGTGATCTCCATTTATCGAGGAGGAAATCAGAGAAGATACGCGATAAACAAAGGTCACAGAGGCAATAGCAGAATTACAATCTGTCTTTTAAGAATTGTTTCCAGATTAGTCACGGTGGAGTACTGATTAGAGTTACTGTAGCAAGACCGACACTCTCATTCAGATCTCGAGCTCTTTTCCAGCGCCTACCTGTGGGCTGCGAGCTAGGAACCCTGTCTGCTATGGGTGCTGGGCTACACAGGGTTTTGCTCAGTGTCACGCAGCACTCTGCCTAGGGCTCATCTCCGAAGGCATGCTCCTTGTCCCGTGGGGCTCCAGCCAGCGTCGGGGACCGCTACTCTGTTGCAAGGGCGTTTCGCCGCCGATGACTCCTCCCGGCCGTAGGGAGGCAGCGCAGGGCCCATCCGGCTCTTCTTTCCCTTCCCGCCGCTCGTCTCTATGGCGGAAGTGGGTCGTTCCGGCCGGAGCACAACAACATTGTCGACGATCGAGTGAATGGACTCGTCCAAAGGCGGGGGATACTTCTCACGCTCACCTCCTAAACGCCCAGGCGTAACCCAAAAAAAGTAGCATACCAATTACAGATCAACCTATAGGCGATTCCTTCGGATTATGTGAGTACAAAACGGCCCTGAAGAGCGGCGTTCACGTTAGGACGTGGCCGAGCTCCGCACCCCCCCCCCGGAGGCCAGTGGCGCAGGCCGAGCTCGCCCGGCACGCCGGGCCGGTGAGGCAGGGGCACGGGGTTCCTGTCCCGGCTCGCTCCTGTCGTCGCGGTGGTCTGACGCCCTCCGTGAGTGCAGCCGGCTGGTCGGGGGGTCGCGGGGCTGGTGTTAGAGGAGGCCGGGGACCGCCCCCGTCGCCTGTACCAGCTCGGGAGCTCTCGGGGGGCGGCGGGAGTGAGGGCGCCCCTCGAACTACCCAGTCGGGCCAGGCTCGTGGTGGGGCGCCGCCCCCGAGTTGCAGAGCTGTCCGCGCCTCCCTCGTCGTCGGACGGCCGAGGTGCTCGGTTAGCGGCGGTGCCACCATCGGGACCCAGCGGCAAGTTGTCTGTGCGCCCCGCCTGCGTCTCCGGGTTCGGAGCCAAAGCTTGGTCTTGCCTTTAGTCCGTCTCCAGAGCGTTCTGATTTTGCCTTTAGACTTTCCCGCGGCTCATCCCCCCCTCCGTACGCGGAGGCTTCATCCCCTGCGACCACAGGAGCTGGGAGGAAGGAGGCGAAGGAAGGGGCATGCTCCCAGCCTGAGTGGCCGCGCCCCGGCCGGTCCACATAAGTTGGTGGGTTGCGTGCGTGCGCCTCGCAGACTCGGGGTGGGGGGCGGGGGGGACCAGAGGGACCAGACTACCCAGGCCTGCCCCCTTGGGGAATACAGTACTCCTGTACCCCGTGTGGGCGACTTACCGTCCTAGACTTAAGGCGGCTGCCCTGGGGAGGAGGCTGGCCCCCGCCCGGACAGACTTCCTGGAGGAGTGGAGCCTAGGATAGCCCTGAGAATGGGGGGTGGCGGGGTAGAGGTGGAGGGGTGGGGGAACTTGTGTGGAGTTTAAGAGGGGGAGGTTGTGGAAGAAGGGGAAACAGCTGGGCATCTCTGGATGGGCAACTTTTGGATAGGTGTAAACCAACGTGCAGAAAAGAGGGAGGGATTAGCAACTTCAGGAAGCACCTGGCATTCCAGGAGGAGGAGGAGGAGGAGGAGAACGAGGAGAAGAGCAGCCACTTTGGGGTATTGAGTCTACAGTGCTGAGAAGCATACAGTCCCTTGTCCTCAAAGAGCCGTCTGACTAGTAGGAGAGAGAAGAATAAGTGAAGGAGGCACTGCTGATTACTCTGAGCCCTCCTTCTCTGAGCCAACCGACAGAGATCAAGTGGAATCTACTTGAGGGGAGGAGCCAGGACTCAGAGGAGGTGGGATGCCATGTCAAGCAGGCATGCTTGGGATTCAAGGATGGGCCAGAAAGGTTCATCTGTGAGGAAGTGTTGAGGCGGCTTCTATGGGGCTCTGGATATCAGAACCAAGACCAAGTGGCTGTGGTGCAGGAATACCTTAATAGTCACAAAGGCAGCGTGGTGGGCTGAACTAAGAAGTGGGACTGCTCCCTCTGCCCCAGGCTCAAGTTACTCAATTCTGCCTCTGTCCCTGCTGTAATGCAGCCTTGCGTCCTCTCTCAGCAATGAGAATAGCATAATCGGTTGTGGCATCTAATGCTTGTGGAGTGCTTACCACTTGCCAGGTACTGCTTTAAGTGTTTTATGGTTTCAAGTGCTTCCTAGATAGTAGCTCATTTCTGGAGACAAACCTTTCCACGTAGTTCCTGTTATTATTATTATTTTTTGAGATTTTCCAAATTGAAGTTCAGTAATTGTCTGAGGTTGCACAGAGGGGACGCCGCAGAGCTGCGGTTTCGACCTAGGTTGTCTCGCTCAGGAGCCACTGTTCTTTTGTTTTGTATACGTGATCTTAATTCATGCTCGCAACAGCCTGCATACACAGAGCAGGGCACTGAAGCTGAGGGACTCGCTTAAGATCAGTGAGAGGAGAGCTGCAGTTCACATCCCAAACCCATTGGACACGAACATCGTCATCCTGCCCCCTCACTGCTACCATCGTCACGGCCCCTGCCAGCCTGGAATTCTGCCCTGGTGTCCGGATGACCCTGACATTGCATATGAGATTTGGCGTGTGTGCGCGCCTGTGGGTCAGGCAGCGGAGCATTCATGGCTTTCACAAAGCAGGGTGACTGCAGGATAGTCAAGAGCCACCCTTGGGCCCTTCAGCCAGAGTTCACCTGCTGGTGCACAGATAGGTTCTTGGCCAGGGGATACCACCATTCACTCTCCTCTGCCCGCAGCAGAGTCCAGATGCCTAACGCAGCTCCCAGGAACTCAGGTGCCAGCTCCCTTTTCTCCTCCTTCTCCCCTGGCTGGCTCACCACCTGCCTCCGGCCCCTCAGGTTTTCTGGGGCCGGGGCTCTGCCAGCCCGCCTGGTGTTGCCCAGGGTGCATTTGCGGTGAAGGGCACTGGACGCCAGACATGGAGCGCCTGCCTGGGCCGGTTGGTGGGACTGGTCACTTTGAAGCCCTCCCTCTTCCTGTCTTGTGAGAGTTTGATTCTCTGCATGTCTGAGGGGGCTTCAGAAAGTGTGTGGGAAAATTCTACCCTCTTTTACATACATACCCCCCCACCCCCACACACTGTTTGAAGCCCCTTTGTACAGCAGAAATACAGTGGAGGCCAGCCGGGCTGGGCTAGGCCTGGAAGGTGGCGGGCGGTAGCCTGCAGAGACTGAGAGAAGTGCCTGCATTTTAACCGGGCTGCCCTTACAGGCTGGCCCCTGAGTGGGCAGACGCTCGCCGGCTCCATCCCTGTCCCTCCACCCGAGGTGGGCCACCAGCTGCGGGATGAACTGCCGTTCGGAGGTGCTGGAGGTGTCCGTGGAGGGGCGGCAGGTGGAGGAGGCCATGCTGGCCGTGCTGCACACCGTGCTCCTACATCGCAGCACGGGCAAGTTCCACTACAAGAAGGAGGGCACCTACTCCATTGGCACTGTGGGCACCCAGGATGTTGACTGTGACTTCATCGACTTCACCTACGTGCGCGTCTCCTCCGATGAGCTGGACCGGGCCCTGCGCAAGGTTGTCGGGGAATTTAAGGTAGGAGTGTGGCTTGGCGGGTTGGCAGGCGGATGAGACTGCCGCATCAGCCTGACTGAGGGAGGAGGGCTGGCGGGCTGGGGTCAGAGTGGGTGGGACAGTTGCTAGAATGCTCTCGGCAAGCAGGGAGGGCAGGGAGTCCTCCCGGGAAACCGATGAGCCCGGTTCCTCAGTTCTGGACTCTGGCTCTTCTCCAACTCCACCCCGCTTTCTACCAATGTCTTCTTTGCTTCTGCTTCTCCTTCTTAAAAAGAAACAGCTCCCTGAGAGAGAGGTGCTGCCATTGGGCATTGTGACTTGTGTTTGCACATGGCTGTGTGGGGAAGTGGAGCCCTGGTGGAATACTGGGTAAGCCTGGGCCTGCTAACGGCAAGGCCAGCAGTTCGAAACCACCAGCCACTCTTCGGGAGAAAGATAAGACTTCCTATTTCTGTAAAGTTTGACAGCGGTCAAACTACAGGACCGCGAGAGTGCGAATTGACTTGGTGGCCGTGAGTGAGTGGTCAAGAGGAAGGGACACACTGGCTCTTTGTGTTGGTCACCCCAGGAAGGTGGACTGGGGGGTGACTTAATTTTGACTGCGTGTGGAATCTGGGGATTTCACTATCCAAGGGAAGTAACAAAGGCAGTCTATTTTTTTAAATCAAAGGCACAAGCTTTGGGGTTAGAGGAGAAGGATTACTGGGGCGCCTCTATACTGTGGGCTCCTGGCAGGGGCTTGCCTACTGTCAGGTGGAGCCTTTCCTAGGCTGCTGCAGCCTCAGAAAGCTAGCTCTCCCTTCCGCTGGACCCTCTCGCCCCCTGGCCCATGTCCATGTACGGCCTGTAGAAATGAGCCACTACGAGCAGGTTCTGCCACCTAAGTGTGTGCTCTTGGCTGCGTGAATCACTCCTGGGCCTCAGTTTCTTTACAGTCCGTACCACACAGCTGGGCCTGTGGTTGGAATGAGTCACACGTGGCAGTTTCTTGGGGTAGGGCTTGACACCCCGCTAGTACACCAAGTGAGCCATTGTTAGTGTTCACCACAGCCAGGCGACTTTGGTTGGTTTGTAAGAGGAGTGACTGCGTTGGCACAGTCTCAGATAGAAGGGTGCTTTGGGGCCCTGGCTGCCCTCGGCAGAGGAGTGTGGGGTGGGGTTTCTCTCTTATCGCACCTGATGGTCCGCCATGCTCCCAGAGGAAGCAGAGCAGCCAGATCTCATCTGTCCTCCCGTTTCTTCCCCATTTGGTTCCCTGGTTTCTTGCTTTTTAAATGAGGCTCTTTCAACAGCCAGCTTTCTGGAAAATGACCGAGTTGGGATTGCCATCAAGTGCTCCGGCTGCCAGGACCTTGGAGGCTGCATGGAGAAGGCTGTAGGGCTTGCCTGAGGGGAAGGAAGGAGATGTCAGGATTAGGTGGCTGTGGGAGAACATTTCCAAGGACCAGAGGACGAGGGCTGTGCAGGGAGAAGGCCTTTCCCCGTGAAGGTTAAATGCATGGGTTTTGAAACCCGACTACTTGGATTCGAATCCTGGCTCGGCCATTCCCTGGCAGTGCGGCTTTTGGCAAGTGACGCCTGTCTCTGAGCCTGACTTTGCCCGACTGCAGTGGAGGTAACATGCCTGCCTCAGTTGTGAAGAGGAGCTGGTGGGAGAGTGTGCACTGCCTGGCATGGAGTGTGAGCTGCAAGAGGTAGTGATTTCCTTACTGTCTCGTCCTGACAAGCTGGAGGAGTCTGAGGAGCTGGATTTGGTTGGTTGGCTTGCCTACCATTCAGCTCAGACTGGCAGCTTGCAGTGTTGCTCCCCAGAAACCCTCTGCTCTCACTGGGCCCTTGTCCCCTGCCATCCTGAGGGACTAGAGAGAGAGAGAGGGTGCTTGCTTCCCTGGGTGCATAGGACGGGGGAAGAAGTCTCCAGAAGCCTTGGCCTCCTCATCTGTGACTCCCCCCCTCCCCCTTCCAGGATGCCTTGCGCAATTCCAGTGGCGACGGACTAGGGCAGATGTCCCTGGAGTTCTACCAGAAGAAGAAGTCGCGCTGGCCGTTCTCAGACGAGTGCATCCTATGGGAAGTGTGGACGGTCAAGGTGCACGTGGTGGCTCTGGCCACTGAGCAGGAGCGGCAGATCTGCCGGGAGAAGGTGGGCGAGAAGCTGTGTGAGAAGATCATCAACATTGTGGAGGTGATGAACCGCCACGAGTACCTGCCCAAGATGCCCACGCAGTCGGAGGTGGACAACGTGTTCGACACCGGCTTGCGGGACGTGCAGCCTTACCTCTACAAGATCTCCTTCCAGATCACCGACACCCTGGGCACCTCCGTCACCACCACCATGCGCAGGCTCATCAAAGACACCCTCGCCCTCTAGGGGCACTGCGTCTGGGGTTCTGTGTGGCTCCAGCCTTGGTATCTGGGGAAGTTACTGTTGAGGCCCCTGGGGCGCTGGACACCTGCTCTGGGTCCTGAGCGCAGACTTGGAAGGGACAGCTCCTGGCTTCCTTGTTTTGTGGT